TCCTCCTCTTCCTCCTCCTCCTCCTCCTCCTCCTCCTCCTCCTCCTCCTCTCACTCCTTCTGAGAAGTGCTCGGCGCCTTCGGGGGAAGACCGAGCAGACTTCTCTCGCGCAGGCCTGAAGGTTGACACCAACACCGGTGTCGGCAGTGTGCCTCCACCGAGGGAAGAAGATCCCGATCTCGGTGATTGATGGTGATAATAGTCTGGCTTCCAAGGTGACCGACAAATATCAACACCAACGCCGGAATCTAGGATCATCCTCCCCCTGTGGAGGCACCCTCCTGTGCTGGTGCTGGTGCCCACTTCCAGGCCTCCGCCTCTCAGCAGCCAGGAGGCCCTCCGAGCCTTCCGACAAGGCCCGCCCCCTCGCCTCCCTTTCTTCCCCGGGCGCGCCGCCGATGGGAGGCCCTGTAGAAACGGTCGGTTCGCGTCGTGCCGACTGGCGGCGACCCCGCCGCCGGCGTTCAGCGTTGAATGGCGGCGGCGGCGGCCCAGAGGCAGAGGCGACGATGGGGGCGTACAGCCCAGGGGAGAGCAGAACATGTGTTCAGGGGCGCCGATGATCTATCTCTTCGAAAAGGCTCGCGGGCGAATAGGTGTAATGCCCGCCCCTGGGCTATCCGCCCCTATCGTCGCCTCCGACAGAGTCGGTCGAGGTGGAAGGATCCCGCCGGTGTCAGGAAGCAGCGGCGGAGCCAGCACGACACGAACCTGCCGTGCTTGGGGCAAAGTGGGGATGGGGACTGGCCGAACGATACCGAGACTCGAGTCGCTGAGGAGAAAGGAACCCCTAACCTCTTGATAACTCAGGAGGGGAAACAACACACAGACACAAGTAATCGTCGATCCCCAAGAAAAGATGTGAAAATATGGGAATTGGGCGGGAAGACAAAAACCAAGAAAATATGGGAAAACATGGGGAATCATTTCATTTGTGGGCATTCATTTGTGTGTCCTTGGGCCCCTTGAATAACACGATGAAGACGTAGCCTCACTGAGGTCCCCGCCTTCGCATCCGGGACAGTAGGTCTGGGCGGTCTGGTTCGACACATCTGCAGCGCACATCCTTGGCATCGCTCGGACGTGTGCATTTTTTCTCGGCGAGGACCATCGAGGAGCATCCTTGACCATTCGGCGAAAAAGCCGCGCACGAAACCGAACAAAGCACACGGCATGGACGTCCGAGCGATGGCGAGCGTCCCCCTATCCCTGATGTTCCTGGCCCTCCCAACTTGGGTCCCCACCCAAAGGGGCAGGGGTCCTTGCCTTGCAAGTCGTCGAGGCCTGCGCCGGCAGGTGCACTTCCCCGCCTCCGCATCAGGGACAGTAGCTCTGGGCGGTTTGGTTCGATACATCTGCAGCACACATCCCCTATCCCTACTGCTCCTGGCCCTCCCAACCTAGGTCCCCACCCAAAGGGTCAGGGGTCCTTGTCTTGCCGGGTAAGTCGTCGAGCCTTGCGCCGGCAGGTGCTATCCCTAATGCTCCTGGCCCTCCCAACTTCGATCCCCGCCCAGAGGGTTAGGGGCCCTTGTCTTGTAAATCGTCGAGCGCTTAGGTCCCCACCCAAAAGGGTTAGGGGTCCTTGCCTTGGCAAGTCCTCGAGCCCTGCGCCGGCAGGTGCACTTCCTCCAAGAGGAGCTGGCCCGCCGCGCGTGCGAGCGCGAGTAGCGCCCCGTCCGCGCCCTCCGGGCGGGGGGCGCCGGAGCCCAGCCCGTGGCCGGCCGTGGCGCTCCGGGCTCGGGGGCGGCGGGGAGGAGGAGGAGGAGGAGGGGGAGGAGGAGGAGGAGGAGGGAGGAGGAGGAGGAGGAGGAGGAGGAGGGGGAGGAGGAGGAGGGCGGAGGGGGAGGAGGAGGAGGAGGAGGAGGAGGAGGAGGAGGAGGAGGAGGTGGCGAGGAGCCCAGGGGAGAGCAGTGTGCATTAGCATCGTCCAGCCGATCCCTCGCCCCTGCTCCATCCTCACGTCGGCTGCGAGCCCAGGGGGGGAGGAAGTGAGCAGGGGCAGGCCTCCTCAGACGGCTGGGAGGGCCCCCGCCGTTTTCGGAGGAGTCTCGCAGGCCTTCCCCGGAGGCGCAGGGGGCTTCTCGGAGGGCGCGAGGGCCTCTGAGAAGTCCCGCCGCCTTCTGAGAAGGCCCCCTCTCACTTTCCCCCTTCGCTCGCCGCCGACATTCAGATCCCTGCCATCCCACCACCCGAAGCTCGAGAAGCTCGAGAAGGGAGCGGCTCATGTCCCCCTCTAGGGTGGTTCAATCGGCCAGTGGGGCCCAGGCCCCGCCCGTGGGTAGAAAGATCGGTGAAGCGATGCTCAATGCATGTGTTGGATGATTGTTTTTGGGGCCTTCCTGGGGCCCACCTGTGGATCTGCTCGGCTCTAGTTCGACTCGGGTTCGACTCGGGTTCGACCCAGCTTCGACTCAAGTTCGACGCAGGTTCGACTCAGATCGACGGGTTCGACGCAGCTTCGACGCAAGAATGGAGCGAGTGTCTCCAGGAAGGTCCCCAGAACGAGCATCCAGAACACGTGTACCCCTGGTCGCCGATGCTCCAAGCCTTCGGCGAGGCTCCCCGGCGAGTGCGTGTAATGCCCGCCCCTGGGCTGTTCGCCCTTCTCGTCGCCGTCTCGTCGCCGTCGGGGAGAGCGCTGGAGCCTGGCCCATCGCTGGTCGTGGCGGTCCAGGACCCCTCTTTTCCTCCCTGGGCCGGTAACAGGATAAGAAATGATGGGCGTGTTTTCCACCACCACCACCATAAGTTGGAGGGGGAGGGGGTCCTCCTCCTCCTCCTCCTCCCCGACCTCCTCCTCCTTCTCCCCTCCAACTTATGGTGGTGGTGGTGGAAAACACGCCCATCAAGAAAACTGCACACATCAGCTTTCGGGCCTCCGCGGGGATTTCTCGGGCCCCCCCCGGCGGCGTCTCCAGCGCCGCCCCTGGCGTGCTGCGCGCGCCAGGAAGAGAGGGCTCCAGCGCAGATCCAAACACTCCGGGCGGACCTCCGAGAGAGTTTATGTTTCTGCAGTTGTTTGTTCCTGGAAGGTCAAGTCGGGCATGTCCCTCTGCAGGAGGAATATTCAAAAATGGCCAAACAAATAGTCTGGGGACGACTTTTTCTTTGTATAGAATATGCAAGCATGTTTGTTAACATTTTGAAAGCATTTGTTGGGGGCAAATACCATTGTTCTTCCAAAAGCCGCCTGTAGGGGGACGTGCCCGACCTAACGTCAGGCTAGGAAGGCTTCTGCCTGCGCACAGCCGCCCCCCCCCCCAAGCAGCTCCTCCTGGTCTCAGCACCTCAGCCTTAAGTCGGGCCTGTCCCCCTACAGGGGGATTTCCGACGAAATAAATAATGCCCTCGAAGTAATCCCAAAATGCCCCAAAAATAGTCAGGGGGCATTTTTTTGGGGGGGGGGGTATTTTGTTGGGGTATTTTTCATGTTTCGTCGAAAATCCCCCTGTAGGGGGACACGCCCTGGGGCGCGAGACGCCCAAGGGGCGCCCCCGGAGGCGGCGCCGGGGTGTCGAGACCACCTCGGGCTTCGGGGGGCTCCTCGAGGCCAGCTGGGACTACTCTCAGGAGGGGCAAAAACACACCGACACAATGAATCGTCGATTCCCAGGAAAATGTAGAAAAACGGACAATGGCGGGGAAGACGAAGATCAAAAATTATCCCGGCAAAGCAACCTAACAGCGATGTGTAGAAGCATATCTGAAAAGCATTCCCCTTAAGATTCAGATGAAAATCCAGTTGTAGAATTCTGCTGTTCTCGCAGTCGTAGTCGCATTCGCGATGACAGTCGCAGCGGCAACGGCAGTCGCAGTCACAGCCTCAGCCTCAGCCTGCCTCAGCCTCAGCCTCAGCCTGCCTCAGCCTCAGCCTGCCTCAGCCTCAGCCTCAGCCTGCTTCAGCCTCAGCCTCAGTCTGCCTTCAGCCTCGGCCTCAGCCTCAGCCTGCCTCAGCCTCAGCCTGCATCAGCCTCAGCCTCAGCCTCAGCCTGCCTCAGCATCAGCCTGCCTCAGCCTCAGCCTCAGCCTGCCTCAGCCTCAGCCTCAGCCTGCTTCAGCCTCAGCCTCAGTCTGCCTTCAGCCTCGGCCTCAGCCTCAGCCTGCCTCAGCCTCAGCCTGCCTCGGCCGCAGCATCAGCCTGCCTCAGCATTCAAAATGTGGCCCAGGAATGGAGTTCTGGGAACTAGAAGAACACGAAGTGGCCTACAGTTGGCTCCGGGCATTCAAAATCATGCCCAGGAATGGAGTTCTGGGAACTTGAAGAGCACGAAGTGGCCTACAGTTGGCTCCGGGCATCCAAAATGTGGCCCGGGAATGGAGTTCTGGGAAGTCGAAGAGCACAAAGTGGCCCGGGCATCCAAAATGTGGCCCGGGAATGGAGTTCTGGGAAGTCGAAGAGCACGAAGTGGCCTAATTACAGTTGGCTCTGGGCATCCAAAATGTGGCCCGGGAATGGAATTCTGGGAGCACCAAGAGCGATTTTGCGAGGATGTCCCAAGCGATTTCGGCTTCGGCGGCACCGCCCCGGGTCCCGCCCCGACCCCCCTGTGGAGTCATCTGCTGCTCTCTTTTGAGACCACTAGAAACCTATCAGCAAAAGCTATTAGGTAAAAAATGAGAAAATATAGGGCATCCTGTTACAGTCGGGGCGTTGACCTAAGGAACCCTAAATAAGGAACGAGGCCCCTTTTCCCACAAGTTCAACCTCGATTTCCCACCGAAAACCCAAGCAAGACCCAAGGCAAACTGTGAAGCAGTCAGGGAACACGGAGCCCCTCCCCAACGAACAGGGTTCCTTCTTCAGGGCCCCGAGTGTATTTGTGTGTGTTGATTTGTGCGTCCCAGGGCCCCTTCCCTTCCTAAGCTTCCTACCCGGGGGGCCCACGGAGGCCGGCCGGGACTGCCCGGGGGAAGGGCTGTCTGGGCGCAGCCCGAGGCGTTACCGCGTCCGCAAGGCCTCCCAGGTTCGGAGGCCTGGGAATTGGCACCAACACCAA